CTTTTTCTTTTTCATGTTGTGGAGGTGCTTCAAGGTCAGGAGTAGAACCAAAGGCGGGAGAGAACCACTGGTAAAGGCGTGGGTGATCAGGCTGTTACAAGCAGAAATGTTAACAAGTCAAGGCTGCTCGGTAAAAGGCGTGTAAGGACAGGAAAGGGTGGGTGGTGGTTCTCGCACATGCGTCACGTGTGCAAAGGCAAGGCTGGGGTGGAGAGAGTTGCTGGAGGGAAGCGCAGGGGAGTAAGGCTCAACAAGTCACGCGGAGGCATGTTATGAAGGATTTGGGAAATCAGGCAACATTTAGGCTTGATATTATCAGGAGCTTCTGTTTGGGCAAGAGAGCAAGGACCTTGAAGGGATCGGAGCAAAGCCACTGTCCTGCTGGTCTCCTTCTGCACCTGGGAACTTCTTGAAAGAGTCACGTGTCCTCATTGTCTTTGCTTCTTCTCTGCTCCCATTTGTCCCTCAACCCCGTGCAATCTGGAAACGCAGCAAATATCCCCACGCCATTCTGCTGTCACTGCTCTCATCATGGTCACCAGAGGCCACTGGATGGCCGAGTCCTACTTCTTTTTCCTCGTCCTTATCTCCTTGATTTCTCTGCAGCAATTGATGCACCGAATTCTATGGCTTTAGCTACTTCCCAGATGCCGGTGACCCCCAAATCTATCTCTAGCTTGCGGCTTTCTGCGGAGCTCCCGACCTGAGTAACCACCAGCTTTCCAACCAGGACCCTGTGGACACTCTACATCCTCCAACCCGACACGAACCCAGCAGGACTAGTTTTCCCCTCTCCAGCCTTGCTGCTTCTCCCACTTGGGTCCTCTAGTTGGGCAATAGCACCGCATTCTCTGCTGTGGTCCAAGTCAGAAACTTGGGGCCCCTTTCTTCATCATGCCTCCCAAATGGGTTCATCACACTCCCAGGATTCTACCTTTAAATATCCACCGAACATGTCCCATATTTTCCCCTCTTGCTACCACTGCCCTTGTTCAAGTTCCCGTCATTTCTTACATGGGTGGGAAAATCTAGGGTAAGTTAGGGCACGCCTCAAGCAAACTTTGTTGCGGAAATATCTGTGCCTGCAGGGAGTAGACTCACAGACCCAGGAGATGCATGCTGTCCAGAGAACTCTGCCCTTGACCGAACTCACGGTATGTGAGTTCCACTCTCACATACCTTCTCCTTCCACTCTCTCCGTCTGCTGAAGGCTTCCAGAGACGCACCTCCGACCCCCACCGCTCGGCTGAGATCCAGATGCCTTTCCTGCTGCTCTTGATACAGTGCCATGGATGCGAGCTTGGCTCTGTGTCAAAGGCTGCAGGAACGGGCTTAATTTCCAGCTCAACCACCTTTTCTCCAAATTACTTAAGATCTCATTTTCTTTTTTTTCTCCTTGGTGGATTTGGGATCACAGATGGTATCCATTTTGTAGGGTTGCTTTGAGGATTAAATGAAACTGTATTTAGAGCACTTTGCACAGGGCTTGGCTGGCACAAAGTAAGCGCTCAATAATTGTTGGGTACTATTACTAGACAGCTCTCTCTGAAGGTCCTGCGGGTCCCCTACACTGTCTGAAAATCCCTCTGACACCTATCTGTTTCCCACCCTTCTGTTCCCACCTATCTGTTTCCCATCAGAGCTGTCTGCTTCTGCCAGAGTGATTTTTGTAAAACGCAGAATAAATGGGACCATGTCACCACCCTCCTCTACCCACCCCTTCAATCTTTCAGTGATGGGCTAGAGCCCACAGCCCTTCGTGGGGCGTATAAAGTTTATCATTATCTGGTCTCCGGACCCTGTACTCCACTTTGCTACCTTGCTGCTCCTTGTCTTGGTACCTGCTGTTCCTCCTTTTGAAATATCTTGATTTCTTACCCCTCACTGCTCACTAGGGTGCGCTTTGCTCCTTCTACAGCTCACCATCCCCCTAGAGCACTTGGCACACTCTAAGGTGACCATTAGTCCTCTCTGGGCGTCTCCCATTTTCCATCTCGTGTCCCCAGCTGATGCTGTCATTGACAGCAGGCAACTTTTAATTTTTTCAAGGTAGCTTTGTTTCCTGAGCTAGCAGCCCAACGTCTTATGAATGATAGCAACTCAATGATTTATGAAGGGATGAGCTTTGGAATTAGGAGACAGCACAATTAGTTCATATCTTTGCTCTATTCATTTTGTGGGAGTGATTGTTAGAATAACGTGACTCTATTGTGTCTGGCGTGGTGC